GCTTGCAGGGGGCTGCCTCGGGGGGCTGCGCCGAGCTGGTGTGCCGGCCTCTGCTCGGCAAGTTTATTTGGGCTGGTAGACGTGCAGTTATGCTCTCGAGACCTGAGCTGCTGGCGGATTCCGTATGTGGTATTTCTGTCTGCCGAGCCTGACCGCTGCTGGAACTCTCCTTTTCTTGGTGTGTTGCTTTAACGCATCTGTCGGGTGATGGAACTTGTTTTTTCTCCTTTCCTTTAAAGGCCTTAAATATCAGCATCCTTGTCTTCATCTGTGACCTCATCTCTGTCTGTATTCTGTTTTGTAGCGTATATGTCTTCCTCCTCTTTTGATCCTCTTTTTCTGTTCTTTTTATCTTTAGTCCATTTCTTCCATTCCCACACTAAACCAATGACAGCCTCTCTACAGCTTATATGTTGTGCTTGGTTTTCAGTTGGAGAAATTAAATGTTAGGCTACTTCCACTGTGAGTTAAAATTTCTCCTGTCATCTTCATTTTCCTGAAGAGTGCTCTGGTATGTTTTCTATGAGAAATAGGGGGGTGGGGGGGAGAGAAGGGGGGAGGAATGGGCTGGTGGGGAGAGGAAGGGTTACCAAATAGTAAAACTATCCAGGTGTTTGCTTCTTTTACTTTTGCTCTTCTTATTCCCCGAGTTCATATAGCTCTGGTGCATCACACGTAATTACTTTTTAGTCCACGTTCTTAGACTTTGTGTTTGGAACTTTGTTTTTTGTTTTTACAAGCACTTTTTGTTTGTCATTTGAAAAGTAGTGATGTCGGATCTTGCATTTTTTTCCAAATTTGCCAGTCTTGCCCATTTGTAATATAGTTAACTGGGGAAAGTAATTAAAGTACTTTCAACAAGTCAGATTTTCCAGTTAATTAATGTTCTGAAATTGTTTTTGATGAAACATTGCTATAGAAAATATGACTGATTTAAAAGTTTTGACAGATTGCTCTTCTCTCACAGGAATGAGACTAAATATGGTGTGTCATATGCAATTTGCCCGCTTATTTCTTCCTGTTGATGGTGATAAACAGATGGTGGTATCTCTTTTACCAGGGAGAACTGCCTTGCTTGAAATAACCTGTTAATCCTAGTATCTTTAGCTATGGTTAGAGTGACCGCTCTGAGTGTAAGTAAGCAACAAAATGGAATATTCCTGTTTTATTTTACAGTACATTAATGCTTGGCCTGAGAAGGTTTCTCTTTTGTGGAGGCTGAGCATAAAAGAATTTTGTGACTAAGTCTCTGGATTTATAAGTAGCTGTATGTATTTGACTCTTTCTGTAGCTCCGAAGGTTGATGATCTTGTGTGATTTGTTGCTTCATTTGTGACTCCCTGGAAAGAATAATCTTCTTCTGAGAAGTCTTATTTTTGTTTCACTAAGGTGTTCAAGAACTGATGTACATAGGCATATCATACTTCTGTCAGTTTTGACTTTTTTTCTCTAGAGCCCTCCTTTAGAGTATTTGCAAACAGATTTTAGTTCTGAAAGGAAAGGCTGAGAGTGATACTCGGGATGGATACATTTGAGATCCTGGTTGCCGTTTGAAGCCGAACGTTCGTGCAGTTGAATTTCCTGTTGTGTGGTTTGGTGCTAATGTTTTTTTCCCTCCAAATATGAATATTATTTTAATATAAAATTTTAAAATAATTATTTTATTCTGAATATAAATATTTTAAAGGATAAAATGTGAACCTGAGTTATCTGAACATGAATTTGAAAATCTAGTTACTTTAATTCAATGTTTGCAGTAGATTTCTTTTCCTCTTATATTATGTGGAATGTGAAGCAAAAATAAATTGTCAGTAAGTTTGTGAACAGCATGGAACACTTCAACCGTTGCAGTTCTGGATCTCTCCCAAAGCAGAATTAGCTCATCTCATTTCAAGAAGTTGTTCCTAGCTGTATCCGTAGCTACCTAATATTAGTATGGATTCTGTGAAAATTCAGAATTCTGTAAGCTTTGAAATAGGAAGCAAGATATTGATGTTGTATTAGAAGGAACACAGCCCTGCATTAAAAAGACGGTCAGTTTTGTCTGAGGAGGTTAATTAGGCGGCATAGGGTGGAGCAGTTCTTGGAGCTGAACAGTGCTGTTCCTGTAATAGCTGGCAGGGGTCACTGGAAAGCAATGGACGTTATTTCTTTCCCAGTTTTCCAAAGTTGCATATGCTGTCTTCCCATAACTCTTTATAAATGTCATCTCATCCCCCTTATTTATAGTAGAACTTTTCTGAAACATACAATAGTATAGTTTCTTGTCCTTTTCTCAGGATCTTTGTGAGTGAGAATAAAGACATTCAAAAGTATTTTAGTTTCTTTGAGGAAGTTCTTTGCATAATAAAAGGCATGCTCTACACATTCATGGCCTTACAGTTTATGTGACTTTTTAGCTAGGCTTACTAAGGCCACAAAGCCTGTACAACTACTTTTTTTTTTTTTTTAAACCTGCACAGCCACAAATTTTTCTAAAACTTTCGACAGTTAGAGGCTCAAATTAATATTTGCATAGAAGGCAGGCAGTCCCTTATCCATTCAGAAAGAGAGCAGCTACTGCCCAGTCATTGCAGGCATAGCCCTGAACTATCAGGGCACATGCAGCTGTTTGCCCAGCCCAATAGGACACTTGGTAGTACTGGTGGGAAGCAGGAAAAAGCTCAGGGTACTGTGAAAGGAAGAGACGGACTATAGGGAGCCGGAGAACACTGGTGAGTCTGGTAGAAAGCCAGACTTAGTACTTCTGTCCTTGAAACAATGTAGGCCTGTTTTTTGTCACGTTATTTTTAGTATAAAAAAGGAAGCGAAACAAATGTCTTTCAGGATACCTCTGTTGAAGTTATCTGCCAGTTCAAGGACAGCTGACTACTACTTACTCTAAGATAGGTTTTGGCGTGAAAAAGAGGAGACTTCAGAAGTTTTAAACTTCATGTTTTCTCTCTTTTGTTTACTGTCCTATTGTTCTTATCCATAAAAGTGTTCCACGCTGGATACAGAGGAAATATGTAGTTATTTGAAAGAATTGTCCTCAAATTTTCCTCAAATTTTTGAGGAAAATGCAAAAAAAAATTGCCTGTAAGGGAAGAAAGGGTTAATAGTAGCTAGGGATATAATATATTATGTAATATTTAGGTATGCTTTACATATAATCATAGAACAATTTAGGTTGGAGAGGACCTCTGGAAGTCATTTTTCTGGTCCAATCCCATCTCAAAACAGGGCCAGCTGCAAAGTTAGGGCAAACAAATGTATATGTGTATATAGAGATATCCATTATTTAACCTATATTCCTGAATCTATTGATAATCTTCGAGTTTTCTTTTTTTTTTTTTCAGTGAGGGAAGGATGTCAGACAGTTCATAGAAGTTTTTTTGTCTGTTTGTTTTTCTTACATGTAAACTAAGTGTAAAGGTTTATTTTCCCCCGATTTCACTTTTACTGGGAATACTCTTCAAATGAAATACATAGTGCCAGTCTTTATTTTATTCTTGGATCATTTGAGGTGGTCTTGGGA